AGAGAGAAAATGTTGGACCTGTTCGGAAAGCCGATTGGAAGAAAAATGGCCGCGAACACAATGCTCGCAATGCCCGCACACTTTGTGTCGCTGAAGGGAGGACCCCTGACGTTCAAGGGATGTGCACGGCCCGTGTGTTCATTGCCGGTCATCCTACATTAGTTCAGTTTGCCGTCATTGAAATGTGTCCTCATGACCTAATACTTGGTTTGGACTTCCTGTCACGTCATTCTGTGCTCATTGATTGTGCCACTGGTGCTCTTCAGCTTGAACTGCCGCAGTTTGCCGATTTCCCAGCTGACTATTCTCCCCGTTTATGCTCTCGTCACCACGTTCGCTTGCCTCCGCAAGCTGCTACATATGTCACTTTGCCGTGCTCACGTCATGTGCCCGATGGTGACTACCTCGTCACTCCTATAGTCGACGTACTGATGGCCCGAGACGTCGCTCTTGCTCACGCTGTTGTTGCCGTCGCTAATAATGCAGTGGTTATACCACTACTCAACGTGAGTCTTTTGTCTCAAGTTATTCTGCAAGACATGTCTTTGGCCACCCTATCTCCACTTGACTGCTGCAACGCTGGTTTGGACACCGATACTACATCCCTCTGTCTTGGCCGCAATCACACTCTGCCTGCAGATAACATTAACAAGATGATTGCTCCGACCTCACTGCAGCGCAAGCTGCCAGCTTTCGTAGTCTGCTAACATCATATAGAGACGTTTTCGACTTTGACCACCGCCCTCTCAGCCAAACAACTGCAGTGACTCACCGGATCAACACTGGTGATGCCAGTCCTATACGGCGGCGTCCATATCCCGTATCTCACAAGGAACGCCAAGTAATTCAGAATGAAGTGAACAACATGATTACTAAAGACGTTATAGAACCATCATCCAGCCCCTGGGCCTCCCCAGTCGTGCTCGTTGAGAAGAAGGATGGCAGCTGGCGCTTTTGCAGGGACTATCGCCATATAAACAAAGTGACTCACAAAGATGTCTACCCTTTGCCTCGGATTGATGAGGCCCTCGATTGCCTCCATGGTGGCCAATACTTTTCGTCTATCGACCTTCGGTCCGGCTATTGGCAAATTTCCGTCGACCCCATGGATCGTGAAAAAACCGCTTTCAATACGCCCAGCGGCTTCTACCACTTCAAAGTCATGCCGTTTAGACTGTGTAATGTGCCGGCAACTTTCGAGCGCATGATGGACTCCCTTCTCCGAGGATATAAGTGGTCCATCTGCTTATGTTACTTGGACGATGTCATCGTCTTTTCACTTACCTTCGACAGCCATATAACACGTCTGTCTGCCGTTCTGGATGTTTTTCGAAGAGCTGCTCTCCAATTCTGCAAAATGCCATTTCGGACGTCGCCAAATCACCATACTCGGCCACCTTGTGTCACACCTGTCCCGTTATTAGGGAGGCGATCGCCGGGCTAATTCCAAGAGCCGAAGTATCGGCCCCCCGAACCGCACCACGAAAGCGTGGACAATATAGAAGTGGTCCTTTTTGGTGCGCCAGCGGACGCCGGCTGTGGCCCAAAGAACAAGTCAGAGCCGAGAGTTGATAAACAAAACAAATATTATATTCTCAAAAATGGCAGATCGAAAACAATACACAAAAAATGCACACTCCACAATAGTTGCATACAATATGTCACCAATCAAACCAATCAATCAACGTACTACACAATACAATCAGCCACACTCAAAACAACGGACACAGACAACAATACGCACCACAATGCAGTCGCATGCATTGAACAACCAAGACACTTAAGGACTAAAGAGATAGAAAACCTATTCAGTCCAAAGTCCTTGGAACCAAAGTCTGAATGATACTCTTCCGAGAATCACTCACTCAAAGTCCAGCGTTGTTGTCGTTCCGTAGCTCTCGAAGTTTCTCTTCCAGGAAACCTCGCGTCCTCAAATGGCCACTCTCCAAGCTTCAAGCTTCTTCGCCGGAAATCCGTCGGCTTCCCACACGCAGCTGTTGCCCGCGTCTTCGCTCGATAGCGGTAAACCCACGCTCTTGCCTGTAGCTCGAGCCGTCCCTACGGACCAAAAACTTCGCCGACTACACGGCGGAATCTCCACGCACTCTGGCGCTCACTTCCGTCTCCTCCTGTTCTGTCACTACGGGCAGAACCTTCGCCGACTACACGGCGGAATTCCTACGCACTCTGGCGCTCACTTCCGTCTCCTCCTGTTCTGTCACTACGGGCAGAACCTTCGCCGACTACACGGCGGAATTCCTACGCGCTCTGGCGCTAACTTCCGTCTCCTCCTGTTCTGTCACTACGGGCAGAACCTTCGCCGACTACACGGCGGAATTCCTACGCGCTCTGGCGCTAACTTCCGTCTCCTCCTGATTTCTCGTCTCGGCTGCTCGATTAAATACGTTCCGCGCCACCTTCCAGAACGTTCTCCTCATTTCGTCGGCGCGACGCGCAGCGAAGGCTGGGGAGAGGCACGAGACGGTTCGACTGCCCTCCCCGGAGGATGATTCACTCGGTCTGACCACGCCTCCTTCGTTCTAGAAAAATCGCGGCCTTGCTGGGCCGCCGATGTGGGGTGAGGAGGTTCGTCTGTGAAGCCATGCTTCTGCGGGGAGAGCGCGCGTCCGGGAGCCTTGGATGTTTGCTTTCTTTTTTTTTCTTTTTTTTTACCTCGCGGCGTTTCTTCCGCCCGTTGTCGCAAGGATTTGGCGGCGCGCTCTTTTTTTAGCGCTCGTTCTGTGACACCTTGTCAGTGCCGATGGTGTTCAACCAGATCCCGAAAAGGTGCGAGCAATACAACAATTTACTGAACCACGCTCAACCAAGGACGTCTGAAGTTTTGTAGGGCTATGTTCTTATTTCCGTCGATTTGTCCGCAACTTCGCCGACATCGCTCGACCGCTTACTGATCTCTTAAAGAAGGACGTTGCCTTCGCATGGGGCATAGAGCAAGCGGACGCCTTTTCGGCTCTTATCCATCTGCTGACCACGCCACCAATACTGGCCCATTTCGACCCTGCATCACCTACAGAGCTTCGGACCGATGCCAGTGGCCATGGAATTGGAACGGTCCTTGGCCAACGACAGCACAGGAAGGACCGCGTGATTGCTTACGCCAGTCGTCTTCTTTCACCTGCTGGACGGAAGTTCTCCATCACTGAGCGTGAATGCCTAGCTTTAGTGTGGGCCGTGGCGAAATTCAGGCCTTACCTGTATGGCCGAACTTTTTCCGTTGTTACGGACCATCACGCTCTTTGCTGGCTGTCATCGCTAAAGGACCCATCTGTACGTCTCTGTCGCTAGGCGCTCCGTCTGCAAGAATACTCGTTCGTGGTCCACTACAAGTCGGGACGCCTGCACTCAGACGCGGACTGTTTGTCACTTTATCCGGTTGAAACGCCAGCGACTTGACAGACCTTGATTCAGACCCCTGCGTTCTCTCCATCCACGCTTTGGGTGATATCTCCACCGAACAACGACGTGACCCGTCGTTACTCTCCATCATCGAGTGTCTGACCTCTGCTCCAACAGACCCTTCCGTTCGCCTGTTCAAACTGCACGACAACATTCTGTACTGTCGCAGCTTTAACGCTGATGGCCCGGAAACACTACTCATGCTTCCCCATCACCTGCGTACCAGCGTTCTCGAACAACTACATGACGTACCTACAGCCGGTCACCTAGGCGTCTCTCGTACCTACGATCGTGTGCGACGTCGCTTTTTCTGGCCCAGACTGTATCGTTCTGTGGTTCGCTACGTCACTGCTTGCGACCGCTGCCAACGCCGCAAGCGCCCCTCTGTGCTACCTGCAGCCCATTGACATACCGACGGAACCATTCTTCCGTGTTGGCCTTGACCTGTTGGGCCCGTATCCTACGTCCACCTCCGGAAATAAATGGGTTGCAGTCGCCACAGACTATGCCACACGCTTTGCCATCACTAAAGCACTGCCGACAAGCTGTTCCACTAACATCGCTGACTTTCTCTTGTATGAAGTCATTGTTCATCACGGCGCTCCGCGGCAGCTGCTTACTGATCGAGGAAGGTACTTTCTTTCACGTGTTGTGGATGACATTCTCCACGCCTGCTCCACTGAGCACAAGCTTACTACCGCTTATCATCCACAGACAAATGGATTGACCGAGCGTCTGAACCGAACGCTGACGCATATGCTGTCAATGTACGTTTCGCCAGATCACCGTGACTGGGACAAAGCACTCCCCTTTGTCACGTTCGCGTACAATTCTTCACGGCACGACACAGCTAGTTATTAGTCGTTTTATTTGCTATTTGGCCGACATCCAGCATTACCATTTGACACGCTCCTTCCTTCGGCTGCCCCCTTGTCTACTGAGTACGCCAGCGATGTCATTTCCCGAGTCCATGCAGCCTGTCAGCTTGCCCGTAATCGGCCGCACTTGTCCCAAGCGCACCAAAAAGACCGCTATGACAGTCGCCACCAAAGCGTGCACTTCTCGCCGGGGTCTCTGGTACTTCTCTGGACACCAAACCGCCAAGTCGGCTTATCAAAGAAGCTACTATCACACTACCATGGCCCCTACAAAGTGTTACGACAACTTAGTGACGTGAGCTACGAGATCGCACCCCTAAACAATGCCTCTTCGACCCCCTCACTCCAGACAGACGTTGTACACGTTGCCAGACTCAAACCATATCACCCTCCTCGTTCGTCGCCACCGTACTAAGAGCCGTGACGGCGCTTCCACCGCAGGGGAGTGATGTTGCGGTGCATCATCGACAGGAGCAAGCGTGGCACTTTGCGAAGATGAGGAAGACGCCTGTGCGTTAGGCGCTTGCGCGATGGGCAACTCGGACATCTTGTTCGGCTGCCGATTCTCGGTGGACGCTATCCTATAAGCCTAGACCTCGCCCCGTAACAATATAAATAGGAATAACATGGTATTTTCTAATATGCAAAATGTTGCATTTTGCTGTTGACGTCGCTGAGGGAAGTGTTTGCGTATGTTTCATGCAGGTTGACCCAGATGACAAAGACCATCCTACAGAGGAGATGATTGAGCGGATGGAGGAGAAGCTGGAAGCCACTCAAAGTGACCTCAAGAACCTCTTTCTCATCATATTTCAAGTATGGTTGGGCATGGGACATGTTTATTCATCATAGTCTTATATATTTTGTTAGTACTTGTAGTAAGGAAAGCCCGTGTGTACGCTCTTACAGCTGCCCACTGAAAAAAGAGAAAACATGAATCACCGAGCTGCGTTGAATGGCAGCAAGTTACATTTGTGACCACGATTGCCTATGATGAAGCAGCTAGCTGGGGCAGGTCAAACTGATTCTAGTGTACGCAGCAACATTACTTTTTCTATAAAACGTGCTAACAATATGCAAATGGCATGTGCTTTTATTGCATTCTTGCAGTAACCAAGCACAATTTGTTGCTTACTTTGTTGCGTCAGTGCACGACTTCCACTTTTCAAAGGTTGGGCTGCTGGCTGATTCGTTAAAGGCTGTGGTGCATTATCACTTATTATGAAGTGAGGTTTTTGTGCAGCACCAAATGGGGCATGTCTGCCTTACTATGGCCGCTATGAAATAGGTACATTATGTTTCATTAGATACAGTTGGAATCCCGGTATACTTGAAGCTTATAAGCCAGTATAATAAGCTTTTAAAGTTGAAAAATGATGAATCAATGCGAGGATAATACAGTAGACTCTCAGTAAATGGAAATCTGTCAAACGGAACTGCTGCTCAAAAGGAGCAACTGCCTCTGACAAGATTGGTTTCAGGCTTGTGTTCTGCCCCCCTCTTCATCTCTCAGTAAAGGAACTGCTGTTAAGTGAAACATAATGTTATGTAGGTATTGGCGCCGGTGTCGACTAGAGGACGCTGCTAGCCATAGAAGAGGCTGAAGTGTCTTGCGCTCGGAACCGATTATGTATATCGCACTTGCCATAGGGTTTCTGCAACTGCAACTCTACGAATATCAATATTTTCCCATTCTCTTCAGGTTGTGTTTATTGACAGTCTACTGCATGTTCGTTTAACCTTGAAATGAGACTTCGTGGCAGTGTGGACTTCCGATGCATTGATGCCAAATTTCAGTTGGCTAGCAGCGTTGTTGTGGCATTCGGGCAATTTCCAGTGCATATCTCAGAATGCACTGTTTAACTTCCTTTCGTGTTGTCTTATAAAACAGTGAAAAAAACAACAACTGAATACACAGATGCACGTACAGCGTTGCCTCACTCTATTCCTTTCTATGTTCTGGCCACATTGTAGTGTTTATTTGGTAGTCCTTGAGTGAAAATCCCAGATGGTACTCAAATAGGTTTTAGATAGATTAAATTAGTAATTTCAAAGCCTTTATTATGGTTTTTCAAGCTTTGCAAAATGTTTGTATTTGAAGGTTTTTAACCTTAATATGTCCGAACCAACACGCCTTGAGCATCAACGTACATCAATTCTGCAATTGTTTTAGTTTTTTTTTTAACAAGGTCTAATAAATTACCATATGCTGAGTGGTAATTGTACAACTTGTGTCTTTCAGCGGGAAATATATGGCTATGAATGTTCCAAAGTTTGCTTAAATTTTAGTTGGGACCCTGAGCAAAATGAACACTGTGACTTTTCTTGCAGAGGTTCATCATGACATTGACCGAGCACATCGGCCAGTGTGAGGTGGAAGGCACAAACTTCCAGACCTACTGGTTTCGGTGGACACTGGGTCGCTTGCAAGAAGTATTTTTTCAGGTACAACTATTCATGTCAATATTCATTTTAAGCTCTTGGCAAAAATTAGAATCCATGGTTTGTGCGCAAGTCAAGCGCTAGTATTGGCATTAATCTTGCCACCCTTTTCTGTTGCTGGTGTGAATGCGTGCTTAGTTTTTCTACAGGGTCATAGCCTATTCATAAATTCATGATTGTTGTGCTCCTCGTCAAAGTTAGTTTCTTGCAGTGTCCGAGTCGTTTAAGTGAGTGGTGTTGTTTGGTGGTATCAGTGTACCTCATATCTTTGTTCCATTTGTCCAGCTCATTCACTTTCCCTTAACTTCAAACTGCACCGCCACTCTAAAACAGATGAAAGCAACCCTTACCCTTCGTAATTTCGAGTGGGCTTCGAAATGAGTGACACGAGTTTCAGCTGACATTTCGTCTGCTGGGCATGCGCATGTAGTCTCGTCTTCATCACCGCCATGGTCATCACGGCCTACAAGTGCTGAAAAAAACACCGAGGAATTGGGAATCGCTGTGACTCGCGACATCATGAATCTTTTTTGCTTCGATCCTCTGCGAAACAGTGATTCTGAAATCGATGCCAGCCGACGCAGCAACGAGGAGGCATTCAGGGACACATTGTTCGATCATGCAACAAAGCACAGTAAAAATCTTTGTGTACAGGACAGGTTCCGCAATTCCATCCACAAAAATAAACAGTCCGGTAGGGAACAACAACGATTTATTCAACACAAGTAGTCGGTCAACCTAAAAGTGAAATATGTCCGCACTGCATAAAATTTCGTTCGTGTCTGCCAATTCTTTCATTACGCTTGGGCTCGGCTTCTTTCACCGCTCACGCACTCACAAATGCTGTTGGTTCATTGCGTGTCTCATTCACAGCCAGGTGTCCATGTCGGTGCATCTTTCCCAACTTTAAAAAAAACCTCAGAAACAGCACATACCCTGGTTGTGTAAAGCCAATGTTAAATGTTTTGTGGAGGGATGTAAATTGCTGGCACTGTCCTACCTGAAAGCTTTTATAACAGACCATTGCAGCTCTCTGCAAGAAAGACATTGCTTCATAAGGTACTTGAAACTCAGCACTGGTGTAAGTCGCACACAGCTGTTTTATAACATGTTGGCTCATAACGCTACTGAATTTGTAGCTCCTCATTTTCACTCACTGATGAGCACATGAAAAATCATTCGAACTGGCACAGCGAAGTCGCTGGATTTGAGACGAACTGAGACAGAAAATCGAAGTGAAGCCATTGCTAGGCATCACCATAAGTCGGCTCCACGATGACAACACTAAGATCACCGACGTTATCGTTACTGGCACATCGTCACGCAGTGCTTGTGGTGTGGCCTGGGGGCCAGCTGAACACATCATTGTAGTAACAATGTCACAGGGGCCTGAATGCTCCATTGAGCCTTCATACACTGTTTGCACACGAAATAAGATACCGTAATTACTCGAATCTAACACGCACCTTTTTTCCAATTAAGCGAGTTCATAAATCGCATGCGCGTTAGAATCAAGTACGAAAAAAAAAAATTAATACGGTCATTCTATTGCCATCGGTATTTCCAAAATGGCCGCCCCCTACGTGCGTCGGCATGGCGCGTCGGCCATTTCTGCCTATGTGTTTCCCATGTGCGGCACTTCGTACGTGTGCTGAGGAGTTCGTCATCTCGTAGTGCATTAGCATGGACGGCATGGAAGGATCGACTCCAAAAACTCGAGTGCACCACGATGCCGCTTTTAAAAGGAAAGTCATCGCGTGTGCAGAAACAGACGGAAATCGGGCAGCATCGTGGTTGTTCGGAGTTCCCGAAACGTGCGCGCAGGACTGGCGGAAAACAAAAGCAGAAGATTGTCGACAGCAAAGCTTCACGCAAATGCTTCAGTGGACCACAGCAGGGTCGGTTTCCACAAATTGAAGAGCTGCTCGGCGAGTATGTGCTTGAGCAGCGAGCGGCACAGCGGCCCGTGACGACAGAACTGCTCCAAGTGCGGGCTATGCAATTAGCCTTAAAAAAGGTCTAATGCGGAGCCAGTGTAAAGCGAGCAGCAGGTGCTGGCTAACTTTATGAAGAGGAAAGGCTTTTCCTTCCGAAGGCAAACGGGCATATGCGAAAAGTTTTGCGGAGGAGTACGATGAAAAGCTTCACAGTTTTCAGAGGTTCGTCCTCAGCTTGCGGCACAACAACGGCTACCTGCTTAGGAAAATCGGGAATGCCGATCAGACGCCTCTTTACTTCAACATGCCTGGCACCACAACCGTCGAGAAGAAGGGGGTGAAGCAAGTTCGCGTGCTGACATCGGTCCACGGTAAAACTACAGTGACGGCAATGCTCTGTTACACGTCAGACGGGCACAAGCTTCCCCCGTACCTCATATTTAAATGGAAGATGCTCCCGAAAGGAGTCGTTTTTTCGAGCGGTGTGATCGTGCGGGCCAACGAGAAAAATGGGTGCGCGTTGCAATCGATGTCTTACTTTTTTTTTTTCCGTCGTGGAAATCGGGTGCGCGTTACAATCGAGGGCGCGGTAGAATCGAGTAAATACGGTAACTTCTACATAATGGACACAGTTCTTATTTTGACTGAAAAACTGTCATATACCAAGCTATCAAGCCGAGGCCACAGCACAAGCTTGAAATTTTATGTCACTGCTCCTTTATCATTGAAGCGTGCCAGAAAGATGTCTCGGTTGTAGCCTTTTTGTAAATTTCATCATGAGACAAGCAGCTCATCCTTCTTCCTCATCACATATTTTAAAGGTTTAAGCAGCTTTGTAATATTAGTGGTCCACATTGCAGGACAGTCACTTTTTCAAATTATCTTGAATGTTCCTCTATCAAATGTTTGTGTATCCCTTGTCAGCATTTTAGAGTGATGACTTGTTCGTGAAAGTATTACTACGTTAAACCCCTTTATAAGAGACATGCTCCGGACAGCAGTTCTTGTCTTTTATACGAGATGTCGCTTATACGCAGGGTACATCGTAGGCATTTTCTTACCAACCCGTATTTTACTATAAGCACACTGGCGTCTCTTACACCTATTTGTCTCTTATATCAGTGTCTCTTATGAAGGGGTTTGACTGTAGTTAGCATATTAAACTGACTCTTAATAATTCAAACAAGTCTTCAATTTTTGGTTGGCCCACTAGGTTTTCAATGTGTTTTGAAGTTGTCTCATTCAAACTCCTCATTGCACAAATTCAGTTATATCAAACTTTTTGCTTGTCCATGCCTTGAAATACTTACTGCAGCCAATTTCCTGCCTGAAAAACTGCCGAACAAGGTATACTCCATGCAGCAACAGCCACATGCTGATTGAGAAAAGAAAGAAATTCAATGACGATTACGAAACCACCTAATGGGAATTCCCAGCGTAGCTTTTTAGGTGGTGAGATTGAGCTGCAGTGGTGTACAACAACGAATTCGCTGATTTCCATCCAGGTAGTGTGTATAAAACTGGTTTTTTTTAGCTGCAGCTGCTTATAATAGGACAGACAGGCTGCTGTCGTAATTAGAGATTATTGGAATATAAATAGCTAATTGGAGGCTTACCTCCTAATCTATCTTTACATTGCAGAGAGTGTAAATTCACACCAAGATTCAATGAATATGCTGTTTTTGTACAGGCACAGGGATGAACAAAGGCATCTAATGATTCAGGCCTGGTATATCGATTAGTGGTGGTGTGTGCGTGAGCCACTCGTTGATTAACTTGTATAACAAAAATCAAACGAAAGCAGTTATTTTTCACGTAGACCCCCACGCGTGCCAGAATTACAGGTTTGCCTATTGCCTGGGCAAGCACAGATAAGTTTTCATGCCTTCATCCTTTTCTGCTATCGTGCAACCTATGCAGTTTTTAGTCAACATTTGAAGTGTTCTGACTTCCCTATTATGTATGTTAGTGTTTGCGCACCCACTCTTTTAGAATGACATCTAGAAACTTTACTGTCATTCATGCAGAGCTGTCCATGACGCCATTGCAGGAACTGAGAAGCAATAACTATCAAAACTCTAGTTGATATGCTGCTCTTGTCATATTTATGAGGACTTCTGATAATCACGACAAAATCATGAGGTGCCCTCGAGTTTCAACTATTGAGTGTCTACTGTATGATGGGCATACTATATCTTTTTAAAACATACTAATTTGCATATTTGCATGTTTTTGGTCAGCATCAAGCAAAAGGCATTCTCCCATGTTGGTACAGTATTTATGGTGCACAGCTGCTGACTCGAAGGTTGTGGATTTGATGCCGGCCTCGGCTGTCGCACTTCAATGGAAGTGAAATGTTAGAGTTAAAGAACACCAGGCTGTGTGCTTCATACCTAATCATTTTGCGGTTTGGGCGCGCGAGAACCAAGATATTATTATTTACGCAAAAAGTGGTCACATGCAAACGGTAGAGGAGTCCTTTCGATTCTTATTTCTGGGTTTCTGACCCAAACAGTAGATTTTATGGTAGTGAGGAGTTCATGTGGCATATAGTATTGGCTACAAATGTTGAATTCTGTGTTCCACTCTTTGTTGCAGCACCATGAACATGTGTTCAAGTATGTGACCACACTGGAATCACTTTTGTTCACCAGCGACATCGACCCTCATGTGCTGGAAGTGTTCCAGCAGTTTGCAGCATTACGTGCATAAGCGATTCATTAAATAACCATCTTCACAGTTGCATCATGTGCTTGTCTTCTTTTTGCTATGTCATGTGTATAAATGTATCATGTATATTACATACATATATTTGTAACACAGTTTTCATTATTTCTGAAAGGGACTGATAGTATGTGGGATTTGACTGTAGGGCGAATGAAACGACCGTCATTTATAGTGACAGAATCGGGCATTATTTTTAAGGTTTGAGTAGGATTTTTATTATCAAATATTGTCAGATTGCATTTGAAAGTCATAACAGGAATGATGCACAGCCTGGTGAATATGCCTTTATACTGTGCAAAAGAGTCGTTCAGATTCTTGTACATTGACTGTAGATTTTTAGGCTTTCCATAAATCATGCTTGGCATTGCAACCTGTATATCATCATGCATCCTTGCCTTTTTCTACATTTGTTTGAGGTAAAGAGAGTTTATACCGGTAAGCAGTGCTGCTTTCACAGCAACTAAAGAATCCAGAAACCCATGTCAAGCAAAGCAAATGTGAACTGTGCGTAAACATGCAATGGCGCACAACACGAACGGGAGCTGTAGCAATGCAGGCTGCGTAAACATAACGTTACTCGCCTGTTGCCAGCATGTTATCATTATCGCACCCACCGACCACTGTCTGCAGCATGCTTCGTGTGTAAACTTCAGCACTGTAGACAGAAAATATATACATATATATGATGAACCATTGCATGATCGCATTCCATGACTGGATATTCTGATTGATGAGTTTTTCTTCGCATTAAACATGAAGGGAGGAAACAACTCATTCCTTCCTCCCTTGCACTAAAGAAAACAGGTGCCATAAAAATCGGTTGCCGTTACCTTCAGTTTAATATACACCCTGTAATAAATATTCTGGAGGCACTGTCTTAGGGCAAAACAGTTACTAGGAAATATCGAGTAGTTTGAATAATAAGCGTAAAGCCGCGGCATGTAATTGTTTGGCTGTTGCACATGATGTACAGCATTCAGAAACGCCGGCAAACCGCTACTCATGTCAAATTCTCGGGGCATCTGCGTACAATGGACTTTAACCAGAAATCAAGGCAGCTTTTCTGCACGGTTTCTCAACCAAGAATGCCAGTTCAGACTGCTTTTCTTGCTCTTGTGCTTTTACCGTTCTTAATTCCAGTGAAGCCATGGGGTGGACGAGCCACCTTTCGTCCTTAAGAGAGAGAGGGAGGGGGGACATGCAAATGCACAATGAGCAAGAAAAGCAGTCAGTGAACGAGAGTGCTTGGTTAAAAAAAGTTATCTTCCAGAAAAGCCACCGCGCAGATTTTTGCACGGTGGCTTGGAATACATTTGTATTCACGACTTTGAATGCAGACAGATCACAGATAAACTACGTTGCAGCATGGCCACGTCACAGCGTATTAAGGAAAAACATGGTTTCTGCCACGGAGGAAGTGGTTTCTGCATTTACAAAAACGGCGCCATGTTGGGCTGCGCACGGGATTACGAAGGATGATGTCACAGCTTAAGCAGTCATTTCTGAGAGTCATGCCGATTCGCGCAGCCCAAAAGGGACCCAGGCGGCTCTTGGAGAGCCGTTTTTAATAACAGCGTGTGATACTGTACATGTAGGTCGAACCACATTTTTTCACTTGCAAGTTTTCAGCAACTCCAAATGAGGGCTAATATTTTTAACGTGTAAGGATCATACGCTTAGATGCGTTTGCTACTTTACCCGCATGCACACCACCATAGAGGTAACTCCGCGGCAGGGTCAAACCCACCGAGTTTCTACTGTAACTAAACCGGCCTCTGTGCCGTGTCCTTACTTGCATTCGTTAACAAACGTTTATGAAATTCAAAGGCGACCGTGAGCTTTTATTAGGTTGTGAGCCAACTTCATTTTTAACATCATCCACACCGTGATCCTTACATAGCTTGTATGTGCAACAGCACAGCATGAGCACATCCTTTGAAATAGCTTTGCTCCACTGCTGTTCATATTTGTGCAGCCGGGAAGCTGTCGGCGCAATTGTATCGCGGTGAGATCATGGTGTTTTACGTCTCAAAGGCCATGCTTTTAACTGTAAAACCGAAAAATTAGCATGCGCGCTAATCACATCTAATCACATTTGTGTAACGTATCCTTAACAAAAAAATTAACAATTTATTGCTTATACACTAAGTAATAGTTCACTAATGCATAATAAAAGGCGCTGGCATTGTTCAAACACTCTTTTTTGGCATTTAGACCATTTTAGGCATTACTGGATTATAAATGAGCTTGGTCTGGCAACAACTCTTTTTCACCGACCACTTTGAGCGTGTAGCACGCGTGTCATCGGACGCTGTAAGTAGTCTTTTAATATTGCTCGCCCATTGTCGTTAACTTGAGAAAAATAATATAGAATCGCCTTCAATTGTTAGAGTAAGCCACTTTCTCGGCGAATGTAGCTTACACGGTCTCGTGAAAATGATCTTCGGAGTGTCACATAGGCCTAAGCACCGTCAGGCCGGCCTTGCGACGTCGTCTTCAACTCTTGTATTTAGCTGGTGTACATTTCTATTAGAGTGCTCCTTTAAGCTAACGTTATTAGCACAGAGAAAAGACGCGATTAACTCTTTAGTGCCTGTTGACTCATCTTTTGACGTTAGAGGTGCAGGTATGGATGTGTGTCCAGTTGGGCTGCTTGGCGCTAACCCTAAATATCACGTCTGTCGAGTTTAGGTGTTGCGAGCCGTGAAAAGCTGACCACTGGGTGAAATTTGTTACTCATCAGAGCTATGTTGGCGTAATCGTAGTCGTTCCATGTGAGAAGCGCTGTAATTTGTAAAGTAGTTGGTCTGGTTTCAAGCTTCTCAGAAGGGGTTGTTTTGTCAACCGGTTTCTAGGATGGATTAAAAGGAAAACCAACACTATAGTCTGTATTTAATGTTAACTGGCGGTTATGATAACAGCTTCCCCACCGAGCCTATGGTGTTGCTGTAAGATTGAAGAGAGGGGATGACATAATAGCTGTAGCTTTCAACTGACTGACGATATCTCGGTGCTCTTCTTTCGCACATGGTTATAGCTTTGCAATCTCAGTCATCTGCGTGCGCCTTATTTGTGGCTAAATTACTGTTGCCGTAGTCTTATTTAATCTATTGAATTAGTTGTGGAACGCTACTTGACGTGAATTCCCGCCCGCACTCATCGACGAGCAAAGCTGTGCAGTGTAGCCACTTTCCTGTGCTTGAACGGCGGAGCCATATAAGCTCCATCGCCGCTGTCGTTTTTGTGTCGTTCTGTTCAGCCAGCAATTGGGAGTTCTCCCGCCGCTTCGTCGCATAGCCTCAGCATGCCGTGCTCTCTGCCTTTTCCGCCTCGGTCATGCGTGGCCTCCCTCGTCGTCGAGCACTAGTTGACACAGATGCTGCATGAAGTGTCGCAGATAAGGCAGTGTGGGTAGTTCTCCCAGTTGCTCGTGCTTGAACGTTAGCATCGTTATGGCTCGTTATTTGTGGGGCACTACTTGACATGAATGTCCCGCAGGCACCGATTGATAAGCAACTGTGCAGTGTGGCCACTTCCCTCTGCTAGAACGGCGCTCTGCTGTAGTCGAGACACGTTTTTCACAATGTCCCACAGATGGCACACAGACACACACTCGCGCGCGCGCGAATGGTACGTACAGGTTTTCGATCTAAAGCAAGTTGCATGGCCTCCAAGATACACGCCGTGCGTTCGCCATTTCGGAGGCCGTAAAAAGAGTCACAATGCCTCACATATGGCAGCACATTGTTTAGCGTGTGCTGTTTGCTTGATTAACGTCTCTGGAAAGGCATGATGTGTTTTCCGCTAGATGGACAATGGACAGATGGCGGAATTTCTGCGATACAAGCTCTCTAACACTATCGCGTTAAAATATCCCTCTTTATCGTGCGTCATCACATGACACATGGAGAACCAAAGGGCCCGGCGTCCGAAGGCACCGGCCGAGAAAGATTAGATTTGACAGCTGAGACCCGGGCGGAAACTCTGCCTTTACTATGTACAGTACGGTCCACTGTTAAGGGGAACACGTGAGCACGTGGCCGGCGGTACGCGGGCGCCAACTGCTGGCGAGATTTGGAAATACGGAGCATGCGCGCAGAATCGCAAGGGCGGTACTCGCCCGCATCGTCTGCTGCTTCCCTGCCCTATGCTCGGCGCACGCTAGCAACAAGCTTGCTGTGCTCGCTTCACCGACCATCGATTCCCATGTCTGTTATCAAAAGCGGCTGGCTGGTTCGAACTGCGTTTGGAAAGCTTACAATTACATTTTTGTTGGGCACAAACACCAAGCTACGAGAGTGATGGGCTTCGTTATCAATTTGACAGAATGCCACAGATGGGGGCGTATTTACTCGCTGATTGCATTTTTGGCAGAGCTAGTTCTTAGAAGCGGCTGAAGACAAAAGGCTTCGAATACTCGAGCTGTACATCAAAGAATAGAGCCAGCTTGCTGTCACTGCCATCTGCTGAAAAGGCCACTTTCTTATTACCAGCATAATCATCAGCATTACGAATGTAATTTTTTGAGTGCCTAGTTCTGTCATGCATCGTCCTATTTTGCTTACACAGATCTGCATTTTATATAGTGTCTTCACTGGGCAGATGTGTTGCATTACCTTAGCACTATTCAAATGTTTCGAGGCTACAGATCTGACCTCACTCGACCTGTCTGTCACAAAGGTTTTAAGAATAAATTTTTCTTTGTTTACTTCGTAGTATTCTACGTACACAGTTTTTCAGCGCACGTATTGGTGAAGCGTAAAGATTTTCGAAGAAGTGAACCCTATAGCCTGTTTCACATGCGAGCGAACAAGAGGCGGCCATGAGCGGCGGGAGGACGCGCGGACACGCGTTCGTTTCACATGCGCCGCTCCGTTGCTCTAGTGGGCAGTGTTGTCCGCGGAAGGCGCCAGTCAACTGCTGTTTTCAGTGGTATCTGAAAGCCGTGCTCTCCTCCAAGTGTCCTTCATTTGGCGCCCCTGTGCTAGGAGGTTCATCATCAATAATTGCTCGACATTTACGCGTCTGTACACTGATTGAACTAGTTTTAACACGTATCTTACAACGAATAAGCAACGTTTGCAGTTGCTTTTTGTTTTGTCCTGGCTTTTTCACGTATGATTCTTGTTGCGCGCTCATATAACTGATATAACTGACCATAGAGAAGCAAAAAAAAAAGTGCTTGTATGGTTTATTATACAGCTGTTCCAGCTAGGTGAATGCTTAAGAACTGCGAGCGTGTTTTGCGCAGCACTTGCCATGTTTCTCCGATTCATTGCTTTTGCTTTCAGCGATTTAACATTGGGACGCTGAACGAGGTTTCTGTCAGCCCAGTATACACAACTCGCAAAATTTATACCTAAATGTTTGTACCTGTTCGCTCGAGTCAACATAAGAGTTTTTATAAAAACTGTTAAGTAGTAAGCTTCGGCAGTGTTTGTGGTCACCCTTTGGCTCATGCGAACACATCCTTCATTGGGGTTTTCTGAATGGTCTACATCTTTTCTGGCGTTCGAATTCGTATGCTTCCACCCTAATCAGTAAGCCTTTTAGATTTTTCAGTGATTCAGTAAAGCACTCCAGGAAGAGTTTCATCAACGGCAGGTAGCATAATATATACGTGATACGCTCGCAGTCCCGGTTCTTTGGCTGCTGTATATACACTTGTGCGCGGCGCAGGTAAGGGACTACGCAGCAATTCTTGCTTTAGCTTGCATTTGCGTCCATAAATGCTGCGTTGGTGAGCAGGAAAGCCGAAGTATCATATCATTTCACAAAACACACCTTTGCCGTCGGCACATAGTGACATTCAGTTGGTAGCATTCTACCGTGTAATTTAGATGCATGTTTCTAGGCATGTGTTACTGCACTGGTGCCTGAAATCAACAGCTGTTCTTCGTTATCTACGCAGTGTATGTTGTGCTCGCGACCGAACATCTATTTTTGCCTAGCCAGCCGCCCATTCCTGCACTGAGTGTCACGGAGAGCAGCTGGCCAGTGTGGCAGGACCTGTCGACAGCCTGCAAACTTAAGCGCTCTGCGGTGCAATTGCTCATTGCGAGAAAAGCGTCGCAGAGGACGCGGACAAGTCAGCCAGGGTTTTAGTGAGAAATCGAGGTGTTGTTGAAGGGGAGAACAAAAATAAAGGCCTCTAATGAGTGCCTTATTTCCGAGAACCATGACAGCAAGCTTCGCGCCCCTTCTTTGTTGAGTCACATCACGAAATTCCATCTCAGTCACCTGTGTGGAATGCTACTTCTCAAGTCGACTACCGTAAAAGCCGTCCTTGCTCTCTCGTTCATGTGAAGCGTTTATCTATGCACCGCGACACCAAATGTCATAATTTGTTATACCAGCAACAATTGCTGCGACATAGAAGTATGGCGTGCCATGCGGCTCCTCTTTGTAGGAATAACTTTCGATGAAAATGTAAAAACAGAAAAAGAAAGTAGTAATGTTATTGAAATAAAAAAGGCACTGCACGCGATTCTCACTATGGCGAAAGCATCGTCGAGAGCAACAAAAGGAAAACAGCTGCACTTCGACTTCACCAGTGAACATGGCCAGTTTAAGTGACGACGTTTACTTTATAGAAGTATGCGACTTCGGCAATTTCTTCCCAAAGAATGCTCTTCTTATGGTTCTTGCGGAAATCCTCCATCTTGACGTCCCAAAGAAGAGATCGTTTCACAACTTCTATCAGCGACTTGTTGAAAGCAGCGCGAAACATTTGTGAGTCGGGGAGAGGACAGATGTCGTCTGCTACTCAGTTGGAGCGAGTTGTTCTGTGGAACCAGTTCTTCGCAGCGCGCGCGTCAAGTTCTCGACTCCACCCCCGTCATCACGTGTCAAACGACGTCACTGGTTGCTCTGCCGCTTGTGCCGCTAGTGAATTTTTCCAACTGTGGCGAATTTCACAAGGGCGTCCAGTCGCCGCGGTAGACACCTGTTTTGACCTCGCGCGCCGGCTGCCGCTCCGCTCTTGGAGCACAATCGCTCGCATGTGAAACAGGCTTATCGCATATTCCAAATAAGGAGCTCCTAGCGTTTTCGCTTCAACGAAGAAAACGAAATGTAACGCGAGTTAAAACTAACATTTGCTGGGTATCGCAATTCTCATTAATTATATAATTTTGTGCCCCGCCGTAGTGGGATATATCGAAGTATTTTCAAACACGTGTTTCCTTAACCTTTTTCTAAATACTGTAGGCACATGGCTTTTTTTTTTTTTTTGCATTTTGCCTGTATTCCGAAATCGGCTGCTGTGGCCACGAATGGAATCGCAGCAAAGCTGGCGAGAAAGCACAACAACA